AACCCCTGGAGTGTCAGAGGCTGAGGGGTGACCTTTATAGAGATTTATAAAATCATGAGTGTCATGGATAGGGTGAGGAGACGAGGTCTTTTTCCTAGGTTGGGGGGAGTCCAAAACTAGAGGGCATAGGTTTAAGGTGGGAGGGGAAAGATTTAAAAGGGACCTGAGGGGTATCATTTCAGAGGGTGGTGAATGTATGAAACGGGCTGCCAGAGAAAGTATGGGCGTGGGTGCAACTATAACCTTTTAAAAAGCATCTCCTATATGAATAGGAAGGGTTTAGAGGGATATGGGCCAAATGCTGGCAAATGGGAGTAGGTCCGATTTGGGATGTCTGGTAGACACAGACGAGTTGAACCATAGGATCTGTTTCCATGCTGTATGACTGTGTGATTCCATAATACTATATTACCACTGTTAAGGTAGTCCCCCCAAGCCTTTTCTCCCTTTGATCCTCTTCGGTCTGTCAGACAAGCTTCAGCAATGCCCAGAATATTCTCATGAACACTTAAGGGATTCCTTCCCCTTCTCCGCTTTTATTTGATTATTACTTTCAATATTGGCATGGTTAAAGTATTCCATTATCACTATTGTATAGTTCTTGCACCTCTCCTCATTTTTCTGTAATTTAATTCCTCTGTTTCCTTTAAACATACTGTAACTGATTTGAGTTTGCAGAGGCTTGTTGGATCCTTTGTAGCAGTAAGTCCTTCAAACATCTTGAGTTGGGAGGGAGCTGGATGGGGTCAAGAAATGTAAAAAGCAGGAAATGAGAAAATGGTGAACAAAAACAGAAGTTGCTGGAAAAGCTCAGCAGGTCTGGCAGCATCTGTGAAGAAAAAAATCAGTTAACGTTTTGTTCCTGATTGATAGCATCCGCAGTTCTTTCGGTTTTTGATGAGAAAGTGGTGTTCTTGTCTTAAAGGCCATTCTTTCCATAGATGATGTTTAGTCTCTTCAATTCTGAGCTACACCTTCTGTGCAATCTTTTTCAAGCAAAATTCTGCATGATTCATAGTGCCTAAGACTTTTGTAGCCATGGAGTGTGATTTTTTTTTTTTTTTTTTTTTTTTTTTTTTGTTTTTTTAGATCAAATGTCTTGCTATGTGCATCAGGTCCTGACTCTTTTATCTACAAAATGATGCTAGACCAAATCAGTAATTTCTAACATTTCTTGTCTAAGACAGGAACAATCAATATTTTTATCTCGAGTAAAAATAAGGGAAATAATGTGAGGTGTAAAGCTGTGAAGGTTGTCAGTTACATTAATATGGCAAAGTTTTTACTGCAAAGCTAGAGGGCATGATTTTAAACCAAAATTGCAAATTTAATTTAAATAATGTCTCTTGAGCCATCTGACCAAATGTAAAACGCACAAATCACCATGTGTAGGGACTTAACTGTAACTATTTCCCAATTATTCAAAATATGAATGACGAGCAAGACCCACATTTGGTCCTGAAGCTAATCTGTGTGATTGGAACTTTCTGCATAGAACTGAATGACCTTTTTTGTTTGCTTTTCTTATGTTGTGTTCCTGATACCTCATTATATCATTGTTTACAGTTTTGGGACAAGCTTATTATCTGAAAAACATTGCACTTTTATTACTTTTCTGTCTGGAAGGGCAACTTCAGAACTTGACACATGAGGTTCCAGCTGCCAAACTTAGTTAAATGAACATGTGGTAAATGGAGTTGAAGTTGATGATCTACAACTTTGTAAATCTGTTTCAAGCCGAAATTGCTTTTCAATGTGTATGCGTATCTGATTTTCTTGTGCATGTGACATTCATGCACATATTTTATAAGATTTTTGTGGGGGCTTGACTTACTTGCAGAATTGACCATTAGATTTCATTTGGGAACATAACTAGCTGTGCGAAGAATATTTGCACTTCTAGAATCTGGAGAAATTAGCTTCAACTGACCATTTCGTGAATCCTACACTGGATAACAAAATGACTTGAAAGAATCAGCTCACTTTTTCAGCAAAGTTGCATTATGAAGTCCTTGACGTTTCTGCTCCTGTCTAGCTTTCAAATCATGTGCATTGAAAATTCTTAAGATATCAATGGAGATTATTTCCTATTCATCAAGATTGTTGACTCTTCTCAAATAAAGTCATACACACAATTTCAAGTGTTTTCCACAAGCTGTTAATGGAGTATTAACAATTTTTTTTCTGGTCAGTTATAACTATAATTTTGCTCTGCACATTAGATTTATAATTGAGACTTTACCTAAAGTTTTTGAAGATATCTTTTATTTTAAGATGGAACATCTGAGGAAATGTGAACCATGAGGTTGGGAGCTTATTTTAACCATTTAGCAAAAAAATCTCAACGAAGCATTTTGATACATTAAGTAATGGTGGAAACCTGGTGCCTTCTTAAAACTTAATTTCCAAATTTAAGTTGCATACAACTCTCTGTTGTGCAGCTGTAAGAAAGAGAAATTGATCATGGTAGACATATTTCCATATGATATTGAAGTAGAAACAAATCCGGAGAGGCTTGCAAAATGAATGAAGCACTTACTGGCAAAACGTGCAAATTCCAGGCAAGAATTAGTGAGAATTGAAAAATGGGCAATGAGAATTTGTGTTTTCTTTAAAAAAACCTGGATGTGCACGATTACAACTATCTTGTCAAGAACTTGATACTTTATCTGACCCACTACATAAAATTGGATTTGGTTCCATTCTTCTTTCAATTTTACCACACAAATTGTTCTGCAGATTTATTCGTTTTTTTAAAAACTATGTTCTCGAAATTAATAGCTTAAATGACTTCTAAAATTGATCAAATCGCTGTATTCTTGGCTTTGTGATTATTTGAATATACCATAGTTTTGTGTCATTTGAATCCTTTACCATGTTATCCACAGTGCTGGAACAAGATGTAAACGCAAAAGAATCAGCTGTCATCAAAATTGCATAATGAGGTCCTTGCGACTTCTCCTTGTAGACAGATTTTCATGTCTACCTTGCAAATCGTGTGTATTGAAAATTCTTAAAATATCTGTGGAGACTAATTCCTATTTATAGGGAATGTTGCTATTCTGAAATAATATATAGGTAATTTCAGGTGTTTTCAACAAGCTATTTATAAAGCTCATAGAGCTAAAATGCTCCATATTTGTTTGATGACAATTTCTTCTGGTGTTACAATAGTATCTTCTTTTTTGTGAACAGCAGGATTTTCTTGCCCCATGATGAGTTTGTAGCATTATTTGGCACTCAATAAATATGAAGGCATTGGAGAGGGATTTTATAAGAATGGTTCTAGGGATAAGGAGCTTCTGTTATGTGGATGAATTGGAGAAGCTGGGGCCATTCTCTTTAGAGAAGAGCAGGTTATGAGATTTAATTTGTATTCAGCGTAAGTCTAGATGAAGTAGTCAGCAAGCTAGTGTTTCCACTGAGTCAAGAACCCAAGGACATCAATTCAATGTGAATGTCAAATGAACCAGAAATGATGTGGGGAAATAACATTGTTAGACTGTATTGTTAAGCGGCAGATTTAATCATTGTATTCGTTTGGGAGTTGGATAATTATATGAAGTGACATTTTGCAACGTTACAGGAAAACGGTAAGGGAGTGCAACTAGTTGAATTTGCTTTTCCAGAGAGCCATCGTGGTCATGATAGGTTAACAGACCTCCTCCTGTGCTATATCCATTTTCTGCTTCCATCATTTTAATATCAAGAGGTCATGCTTAGATAGAATATTCTCTGTGTGCACCAGGTGGTGGTATAGTGGTTATGCCACTGGACTAGAATCCAGAAGCACAGGCCAATATTCTGGGTAGATGGTGAAATTTGAACTCAATAAAATCTGGATTAAGAGAGCTGGCTCAATGGTGACTACTGTTAGTTTTCATAAAATCCCATGTGAGATTTGATGAATGCTGGTCTAGCTATTGATGCCCACATCCCATGATTGAAAGAAAAAAAAACATGGGGCGATTAACCCCTAAATCTTACCAGCAGGGTATCTTGTCAGATCAACTGCAAATTAGGGTCTGAAGTGTTCAACAAACTTCACGCTAGGTTTTCAGCAGCCATCCCTGATCCCATCCTATCTCCAATTGCCCCCAGATTGGGGCACATGAAGGCTCCACAAACCGGGCAGGCAGAGTGCAGAGTTTTCCTGTTGGTAAAGTAGCCACTTTTCTCACCTCCCAGGAGTACATATAATTGAGTGTAGTTCATAGTGGCTGTTAATTGACCATTTAAGGGCCTCCTTTGATGAAGGTCGAGAAGGTCCTCCGTGCATTTTATAGGAGTTAATTGCAAAGGTAGCAGGAAAGGTAAAGTATCTCCCTCCGATCAATCTGATCAATTATTTGTCCTCCCCACCACTACCACCACCTCCAAAGAGGAGAAAGTCACACCCATGGTGAGACTTAATGCTGGGATTTTGTAAGAGCTGAAAATTGTGAAGATAATTTCTTCTGAGCTACATTGACAGTTTAGACTTCTCTCCAAGTTGGAAACCTTGATCTTGATGGGTTGTGCTGTGGCTCTTACGCTCCCACTACACAAAATGGGTTTTGGAAAATCTTTTGAAATGACTCTGAATTTATCGTTTTTTAAAAAAAACTAGTGTGCGTTTGTGAACTTCAGAGATCTGGACACCATTTAATTATGTGCACTTCTTATCCCAGCTCTTGAATTAATTTTGTCTCCTACTATGGACTAATTCTTTTGTAAGATGCACATTATACCTCAAGGTAGTTCTTAGTTGTTTGGAATTTTAGAGCACAAGTTCATCAGTGTTTTCAACCACTGCCATATCAGTAACATCTACACAATTTTAGTTAGACTATCAACAATTTCAGTACAGTTTTTCACTAAAATTGTAAGTTAACTATTTAATGTATGTTTTTACATTGTTTGTTTGATTTTCATTTACTTTCGCAGGAAATTTGCTTGCTACATTTTTTTGTGTATGTATTATGAACTAATTTTAACCTTTTTCTCATCATACATCATAGGTGTAAAGCGGTCATTGACAGTAATGGCCATCGCATAAGCTGTCGATATTTTATTGTGAATAACAGCTACTTAACTGAGGAACATACTAAAAATGTACAATACAGGTAAAACTTATCTACATTGAGAACTGTTGCATCAAATAATTTCAGACAGCCATGTTATAAGGTTATTAAATGTCTAATTTAAACTGTAATTAGAAACCTATGATGGTGTGTTGAAATAAATTTTAGTTATAATGCTTATGGTTGCATGTTACTTCTCTCATGGCATTGTCTTGCTAATCAGAGCTGACTTTCCAACCAATCAGCAGCCTTTTGTGGTACAAATTATTGTGGTTATTTGAAATTTGGCATTGTCTTGCATTTGTCCTGATGAAAGAAAGAGAAAAACCTTCAGCAACAGAATACATTTTCATTAACTTTACACACCACTCCTTTCTTTCCCCAGCACTGCACTATCTTGTACCTATCTAAGTTGTGAAAATAGATGACCAGGTTTACAAGGTATAATGATAGTGTTGAAAGATACAATAGTAAAATCCAACCTTGGAAAATTGTAATGCACTAATAGATACTAGAGAAAAATGTGCATCAAAATGCATTTTGGCCTGGAAGCATGTGGAAAATTATTGTTGGAAAGACTCAGGATCTCATGTCCATAAACTTTACTCTTTTGTAGTTGAATGTTGTGCAAACCCCTTGAGCATGATACACACTTTCAGAGCTATTGTATCCTTCTCTGTGATTTGTGTTTTTTCCGTGCAATTGTTGACAGTCTGTTATTTTTATTTGCTGTAAAGAATTCTGTATTGTATGGTCAAAAAAATTATTGAATGTTCAGCATTTGCATGTCTGCTGAAAAAACTAAATACTCATTAGATCCTTGAAAAATTCCTATGCTTGTTAACTAGGTTTTTAATTCTCAAGTGGCGTTGCTTAAAAAGTCTAAGTATTGATATCCTGGATTACGGTAATACTTTGAACATTGTTAAATTCTGGAGATCTGTTGTCGTCACTTATATTACTCCATAGTTCCATATTCCACATTGCTATTTAATTATTATTTCTCTCCTTGTAAGGTATATTTCAAGAGCCGTTCTTATAACAAATTCTTCTATCCTGAAATCCACTTCTGAGCAGGTGATAATTCTTACTGATACCTTCTCTTTCATTTCTTAAGTTTATATAAAATGTACGTATAACATTGATAACTGGGCTTTTGAATAGAACGTTACATGAAGTTAGTCAGAAAGCTAGGCAGATTTTTATCAAGTTGACAGTTGGTAATACTGTTCCAAAGAAGAGTCATTGGGCTTGAAACGTTAACTCAGTTTCTCTCTCCACAGGTGCTGCCATATCTACTGAGTTTCTTCAGCAATTTCTATTTCTTGTTGTTTTAATTTTAATTTTTGGTTAGTTTGGCTGCATGATCTTTCTGAATAAGTGAATCCAGTTGCATTAAATAGCCTTCCTCCTCTGTGTTTTGCAGCCTTGATTGCAAAATCCGGTGAGGAAATCGTGCAGTACAATATTAATTGCACAATATAATCAAAACTAAATCTTTTACACAAGCATAACATCCAGCTGGATATCATTGTACTGGGATACAGAATGGTGAGGAAAAGTGTTTTCCCTGATGTAGAAGTGCCAGCGTTGGACTGGGTGGACAAGGTCAGAAATCACCCGACACCAGGTTATAGCCCAAGAGGTTTATTTGAAAACACAAGATTTAGGAGCTTCGCTCCTTCAGCGGAGTGTGATATACATATTAATCAATTAAAATCTTCTAACTGATTAAAGATTTAACAGCATCTTAGGTTTGTTTAATGCATCCTCGTCAGTGGTGTGATCCTTCAATCTTTTACTTATAAATTCTGTGTCGGATATTACCTCTCAATAAGTTGAAGAAGGAGTGAAGCTCTGAAAGCTTGTGTTTTCAAATTAAACCTTTTGACTCTTAACCTGGTGTCATATGATTTCTGACCTCCTTCCTTTCCTACATGAGATTGTAATGTTTCTATCTGGTATTTAGCAAATGAATGGCTGTCATAGCAGTGTTAGTAATGTTGAATTGAAGCTCAAAAGTTGACAGTTTGTTAGATGTTCCATTAGGTACTGCCATGGTGTTCACTTCTTTAGGTCCAAGAATGTGTGTTCATGTGTGTACCTATTATCTAATATTTAGACCATATGATAACATAATCCAGAGCTGTAACTATCAAATCTAGTTGTCTCTGCCTGTGCCCCTTTTGTGCATCCAGTGTCCCTTTTTGAAAAGAATCAAATACTTAGATTTTGATGCAATGAGCTAAGTGAGACTGTGATGGGTGTTTAAACAGTAGAAGTTGTCATTACCGCACCAAAACCCCTTCAGTCCTAATTTAACACAGAAGCTCACTTTGGCAAATACACTTACCGGAAGCAGGTGAGTGCCTCAGTAATTCACTTCGGAGTCCTATGATATCATTGAGCCAGGTCAGGACCTGGCTACAGCGCTGTTGCATATGGCCACATTCCAAGATAAGCAGCAGATTGCTAGTGCTCTGGGAGCTGACACCATTCTGACTAGAAGCAGACTTGTCCATATTTTAAAACATGATGTAGAAGTCACTTAAGCTTTTCCATTTGTAACGCAAGCGAATTTATATTCGTAGCTAAGCTCCTAAAATCCTAACCTCTCTGCAAGTTGGCTCACCCATTCGTTTTTTTTTCTTTATATGAAATAAACTTTCACATATTGACAATTCTACCAACTTTTCTATGGAGGCAAGAAAAATCAAATATCCAAACTTGTAACCCACTGACTTTTTCTTGTGGAGATGAAAAATGTGAGCTATGGGATTAAAAATATTCATGATGAATCTTCCCTTGGTCTGAAATATGACAGCCACTGTAGTTAACTAGATATCCAGTTGTTTGGAGAAATACAAGGTCAAGGTCAGGTTGGTGGTTTTATTTCAGCATCCAAATCAAAGATTTGATTTCTTTTCCTCTTTGGTAACGATATTGCTGATCTCAGGATAATGGACTAATTTTTGTCAGAAAAGACAACTTGTGCTGAGGTATCATATTAAATCACACTATCCTAAAGTGCTGTTTGCATTACTGCAGTGAGTTTTAAGCAAGCAGCTCAATTGTATACAGTAAGATTCCACAAACAGCCAAAATGTGAAAGTTTAATTTGAGGCATAAGGTTGATTATTTAGACTTGGTGATATTGTTTCTACTCGCTCAATAATCCCCAAATTTATGCATTGACTTTACAGATATCTATTTTGACTGTGCCTGCAATGGAAAAGGACCAACCTTCTATCCGAGTCATTGAGCTCTCTCCCTCTTCAAATACCTGTCCACAGGGCACCTGTAAGTTGAGATATTTTGCACTTAATACCTGAACTAACAACAATTTTGCTTTGAAATCAATATCTAATCCTGTTTCTACATTATTTTCATTTTTAAATTGATTTTTAACTGAGTGATTTACCATGGTCAATAACTGTTGAAGATTAACTCATTTATTCTTCAAGCCCCCGATCATGTGTTGTGAAAATGACATACCTGTAATCAGAGTTGCCAGCTGACTGGAACTGAAGTCTTTCACTTGCCCTGAAAATGTGACTCAAATGATGGAATCATGAACTGAAATCATTGCTCTTCCTGCTAGGAGAGCATTACATGACAAATGGCTTCAGCTGCTGTTACTAATTCAGTCATACCTGAGTGACTAAAACATGTGGATAATAGAAACTGATGTGGCAGACTACAGCAGAGGGCAGAATGTAAAGACAGTATGAAGTACCATAAAATATAGTGGTTATTTTTGATTTATTGTTCAATTGTGTAAAGTTTGTAATGTGGTACTGGGTATTTTGCAATAAAGAAAATTAGATTCTCATCACCCATCCCCATGAAAGAATCCTTCGGCCTTATGCTGTCAGTGTTGATGGGGATGTTTTGTACTATGGCCATCGTTTGTTTCGCTTCAGGGAGTATTTAATGTGCAGGTGTTTGTTAAGTGAATGGAATATGAAGGATGAACCCTGTTGTTGCTCATATAATTCTTCTTTCTGAACTATTAAATCATACTCGATTATTTTCAATAAAACAAATGTCTTTTATACAGTACCTTATTATTTAGACTCTTCTTGGGAAAAGTACCATCTCCAAAAATGTTTGAAGGAGTGGGTCTGCAAACAAATACCTGTGAATCGTTATATAGAATAATAGGAGAATAATTATGGTGGGGCAAAAAAACTACACTTTATATATGTTCGATGCTGTATAAAGAGTTGAACAAGATTCCTTGTAGACAGTTCTACAGATTGATATCTGACCATACAAACCACAATTCCTGATGGTAGTCACTAATGAAAATTATTGCAGTTCTAAGAAAATCTCTAGTTTAGGATTCCTTATGCTCTGAATAGATGAAGTTGCACAGCAATGAGTCATTTGCAAGAGCAAATTAAATAGGGAAAGTGAATTGTTGGCTCAGCTTTTAACTGAATAAACTACGGTCCTATGTCTTGTCAGCATGCTTTGAAGTTGGCCTGAGTGATTTAGGTTTGTGCTTTGCTACACAGTCAGATGACAACATCTATTTGAGCCTGCTAGTAAGTAGCAAATATAGTCTCTCTCATGCTGTTAGTATTTGGGATCGTAACAGCCTTCAATTTTGTTCAACCTGACAATTTGTACCATAACGGTTGTCATCTTAGTTTCTTTTCCATTAATCTTTTTGCTTCCCATCCTTTCTTCCTGTCAAGAAGGGAATGAGTATCATTTGAATATGATTCCACTGGTGACAGAAAATCTTCTGTACCTAACTTAATTGAGCATTTCTCTGTGTGTCACATCTTTTTGACGGAGGCCAAACAAAGATATAATGCTCCTATAATTTAATCATAAACTCATCCAACATTTATGCACAATTACTTGCCTATAGGAGATACCTGGTTTGCAACTGGGGCATGAGCCCTCTCAAATTTTCTTTCCAAACCAATGATCCCACCTGGTTTTGGTGATTTGTTTTGTTTTTTTTTGGAAAAAGTGTAATGAATGTAGCCTACTTGGCTCCCCAACAATTAAGTCTTAGACGTTCTGGATCTTTAGTCAGTCCTTAGTGGGGGCAGCAAAAGAAGGGTCCCAACCCGAAACGTCAACTTTCCTGCTCCTTTGATGCTGCCTGGCCTGCTGTGTTCCTCCACCTCCACACTGTGTTATCAGCAAAAGATATGCATTTTTTTTAAATTGTAACAGCCTGTCCTATGTACTTGAACAATATGCCAAGCTTCTTGGCATGTAGTCTGTATAGTTTTGGAGTGCTAAAAGTTCATTTCTTTGCTTAGCACCTTGTTATTTTTAGGAAAGCAGCATCTCGTTGTAATAAATATTATATAATCTTTTTGACACCTCTTGACAATTCAAATGTACAAAGCAGCATGCATCATTACTCTAAATAATGCAAAGTGCCAAAGAATCCAGTTGCATATCCACCTGTGATTTAGTTGTTTGAAAAACAAGCACGTGGACATAAATTGTAGTCTGTGCTCAAAACATCAGGATGATCATATACCTACCCTCAAAACATAACTTGTTTTTGATTGCAATGTCAACCATATATGTTCCTAAATTTACAATGTTCATTTTCATCAATAAATATTGGTGTTTGAGATTGCATCCCTAGAAATCCTATTCATAAATCTCTCAAACTCAAATAAGGTCGCCTGTACCAAGATCATCTTAAATGGCTAAGTTTGCACAAGCTTCCCTGTAGTTAGTCGACACCCATGTCAAGTAGAGTACTGTGTGGTGATAAACGTGAAGCTCAATAAGTCATCTTATTTCCAAGTGCAAAATGTTTAAACCTGTACAAATGGGCTATATTACAAAAGAAGAGTGGCTTTTATCCTCTAATGTAAAATAAGTGAAATTCTAAGTTTATTGCATCAGCTTATTGTTAGATGAGAAAAGGCTGCACTACAAAATATTCCCTGATTTTTACAATACAAAGTTTTTTGTTTTGGGAGCATTTGAATTGCTTGTTCAGCTGTGCAATTTTGTTTCACATCAGTACTATATTACTTTATGTTCTGTTTCAAATAGATCTGGTTCACCTAACTTGCCCATCAAACAAAACTGCTAAAGAAGACTTGGAACCTGTTGTATCTACACTGTATGCCCAGTACAATGAAAATGAAGCTGGTAAGAATTGAAGACTTAATCACTTCTCACCATGACAGGGTAGATGTTTGCGTTCTGCCACATTCAATTTTGTTTTCTTTTGAAATTGTCCAATTTGCAAACTCCTTTCTTCTTACTGACATCATGTTGCACTGACAAAGATATTAGAGTAAAATGCCTATTGCTTCCCTCACCACCTGGTTCATTGCTACTCTACTCATCACACGTCTTCTTCTCCTTTTATCATTTATTCTCTCCCCACCCGTGCCACATCTATAATGTGAAGCCTATTTTGCAATATCTGTTGAATTTCTCCTGTTTGAATCTTGGTGGTTGGATAGGGTCATGTTTACTTTCGTTGCCTCGCTGGTAGGTACTTTTTTTTTAATCCCCTTAAGCCCAGCAATGGGAATTTGCGCAGATTTTCTCTGGATTGGCTGTCATAGCTGTAGCAGGTGATGAACAGGAATGCTTTTAATGATTATAACTGGGATCGTGAGCGTAAACAGAGTTATGGCTAGCGGTTGTTAATATGAAATAATAGTTTAAATGGTTTTCCCTTTATTGAGACTTCAGTAGACATCATCCAACTCAAACGGACCATGGAAAAAAGCTGGAGGAGTTTTACTTCTTAAAAACCAGACCTTGGAGATGTTCAACAAATTGGATCATTTCTTCTCTCTCAACAAATATTAATATTTCATTTATGTGACTTTTCTTGTAAATTTTTCAGTGCAGATTTCCAGAATCTACATTATTTTGCTCTTGTGACATTTTTTTCAATTTACCTAGCTCCATTTCATCCCAGGCGGTATGTATCTTCATTATTTTGTTTGACTTATTTTATGAATTGATGACACAACTTCTGTTTTACTGTTGAAATATTGGTCTACAGTCATTACGATTTAGTCTCCAGAGGCCTTTTATCAGAAGCAAATATTATTGAGCAATATTACGTTATTATAATACATGATTGCATGCACAGTAATAAAATGTGGTTATCTGTTAATGTGATACACTGAGCTTCTGAACAAGTTTTAGAAAATTAAACGAAGGGTCTTGAAATCGATATGAAAACTAAACCTGATAACGCTATTAAGGAACCTGATTATCTCTGTGAACTGTTGCTTGCTTCTGACATGACATTACGATAATCACATGCTAACACATCAATAACTCATGCACATAATGAAGTAATCACTTCACACTCCAAAGCTAGATGTTATGTACAACACCTGGGGTCATAATTGTTGTTCTAGTCACATTTTAATGAGAACACATTTGCAAAAGAATGACGTGCTATTGCTGCGCTGTTCAGTCACTTTGCACCCCCCCATCTTACCTTTCAGTCATCCTTATGTAAGTGCTATTCCAATATAATTAGTTTACTGAGTAACTATTGCTTTAATTCGGCCTGTTGTGTATTCGAATGATGATGGTATCTCTGAGATGCAAAGCAAAGGTACCTGTAGAAAATTGAAAACTTGCTTATGTATAGTCACCTTGGAATTCAATGTGCTGGAGAAGGGCAGAAAAACTTTGTCATCTGACTGTGGTTTGCCTTCCTACTGAATATCAACAAACTAACCAAAAATAAGTTAACCATATTTCTGCAGACAATATAAATAATCAGCAGTAAAATTCAGAGCCATGCATGAAAGCGCAGAACGTGTTTTGAAAAGAATTATTTTTCAAATGCGAACAGAAGCATGATTACAATGAAATGTTGAAGATGGTTAAGTTAATTGGTGGGGACTGTCACTGTATTTGAGACCCCACCCATTTTAGCAATTCCTGTTTATTTCCTTCAGGATCAATTTTATTTTAGCTGTGAACTGAGACTGACAGTTTGTTAATGTTTGCTTGCCTTGATAGCATATGACCAAAGTGGCTAGTTGTTGTATTGACAACATTACTGCTATAGTTCTGTCTCTTGAATCGTTCTAGGGTACCTCCACTTTTTAATTTTGCAATTCTGCTCGTGTATATATTATAGATAATAAGTGCAAACTAAGCCTTGCACGTTTTGCTTTGGGTTTTGCTGCTGTTTCATAAACTGAAAGATAGTACATTGTACTCCTTTTTATTTGTGGAAAACCATAGCATTCAAATAATAAGTTAACTGCACAGTGGAAACTAAATGAGAGTGAACACTAACTGTTGCTGCTTCGCAAGTTAACAAACAAAGTGAAAATGACTCCCCTTAAGAGGTTTGCTGTGTTATTTTCTAAGCCGTCCTTATTGTTTTTTCCCTTCACACTTGATGATTTTACATAGTGATAAATTGTATGTTGTGTAGTCTATTATTTGGAATCAGTCACTATCAGTAGCGTTGGGTGTTTCAGCAATGCATTTTACAAAATATGGTGATTCTCTAACTTTTAATTCTCATAACCTTGACAATGGCTTCATTTAAGCTGAAACTGCTGAATTCCAGACTTTTGCTGCTGACTCATTAATTCTAGCTGCATTGAGATTGCCAGAAATGATGATTTTTGTCACCCAGACAAAGCAGTTAAGTGATTTTCTTTTGTCAGTTTTTCCAAGCTAAATTCTTGGCCAGAATTTTCAATGCTGAAGGACAAACTCTAAACCGCTCAGTATTTCACATTCCAAATATTGCTTTAGTGTTAAGCATTAAGAGCTTGCAAAAGATGTAATCTGTGTGCTTGTTAATTTAATATAGGGGAATGGATCAATTGGGTAGCCTTCCACAGAGCTGAATGACCACCTTCTATGACATTGTACCATGATTCTCTGATTTGGAATGGTACATTTGACTTGTTGGAAATCTGAACTTATTCTAGATCCAGAAGCAATTATCGGGCTTCATGATTTCAGTTTGCTGTCGAATGATTATTTTGAGAAATGTGCAGACTCAGCCAGGAATCACTGGGGTATTTGAGATTGTTCCCCATTCCCATTGAGAAAACACAAAAAAAATCCAAAGTTTTTAGTTTTGGATGTTTTTTATTTACTTGTACTACAAAAAATTTAATCAATGAACATGGATCCAGTTTAAACTCTATGCAAAAAATACTCAATTATCTGATGCTGCCACATTACTCAGATTGATGTGCATGTTAAACTTACAGCCCATTTACAAAGAAGGAAAGCTTTACCTATCATTTACTTAAAGTATAATTGAAATTCTTTTGTTCACATACCAGAGATAATAACAAGGAACATCAGGTGCAGTTCTGCTCCAAAATATGGCATGCGCGAATTTTCAGCTGGTACATTGCCCTTTTTATCATCTGCTTGTGATTGCAGTGTGTGTGGCAGTGGCAGTATTTTAATTAAAATGTCAGAGCAAATTCTATTAGAGCCCTTGAGGACGAATCACCAGATCAGGTGAGCACTAGGCCATAGCAGGTCAAAAAGACAAAGGCACTTGAAAGAGAAGACTTAGTTTCTTCACTAATAAAACAATACAGAAGAAAGCTTTGTACATCCGAATTACAGGCATAGGAATAAAAATATAAAATATTTTAGCTGCTGCTTAGAAAGCTATGAAAGAGAAGAAAAGCACTATAGGCCCTTGCACACTAAATAAAGTTTTGATGTTGACACAACAGTTATTAAATATGAGTGCCCTTGAATTGTACACTCATGCTTCAGTAAGTTCAGAGATTTTAGTGTGTAGAATATAAAAATGAAGCAGTATTCCCAGTGGATCAACAATAGCGTGGTGATAGCATTAAAACTTATGTACAGTTGTGTTATGACCATTTTGTGCTGATTTTAATATTCGATATTTTATTAATGTCTTCTCCTGTTCCCTATCTGTTTCCAAGCTTTCATCTTTTAATTTTATACAGTTACCCCAATTTGATTTTGATGTTTTTGCCATTTAATTTATTATTCACAGATGACAGTTCATTTCCATGTTTTTCTCCTAATTGATGTGAAACTTGTTTTGAAAAACACCAATGTGCTAACTGATGTTTTCAGTGTTGTGTCTCTATACATGCTACAATAATAATTCACTGGCAGATCACTCAAGGTCTCAACAGAGAGCTTTGCTTCCCAGTGAGAATGGGAAGAGCAATTTTCCTTGGGTGGTGGTAGGGTGTCGAAATGAAATTTTACCTCAGCAAGATGATAAAATGCATGATAGCAAGGTGACAGTCACTTGTACCCATTTATCCATTTATACATTTATGAAAAAAATGAATGTGATCAATTCAGTCCAACATGTTTAGCATCCCTACTGATGTTTAATTTCACCTCCAAGACCACTTTTCAAGCACTTCATAGCTTTTTTTTTTCCACTTTCATGTCCATGTCACTATTAATCTCAATCTCAATCTCAATCTCAATTTCACACCTCTTGTCTTTCTCAAACCTTCCTCAGCCTTGGCTTGAATAAGCATTACCAGTAACACCCCCAACTTTACCATTCTACTCTTCATAAGCCTTTCTGTTAAGCGTGCCTAATTTGAGTAACCAGTCTGCTCCTTGGACTCTGTCTCCGCATATACACACACATGCCCACATTCATGGCCATGAAATTGAGCTTGTCGTCATCTTTGATCACTTAGCTGCTATACGCTCTTCTGTCATTATTACTGCCCCCAAATCTGCACACTCATGAGGCTGACCCCAGACCTTGTTTTTTTCGTTTGCCATTTCCTGGTCCAGTTGCAATTGGGCAAAAACTTGGCAAATGGGGAAAAAAAAAGTCAGGAAATGAGGTTATGCATTTTGGCAGGCAGAATAGAGGTGCGGAATATTACTTAAATAAAGAAAGCTACAAAACAGAGGGATTTGGGAGTCCTCATCCATGAATCACAAAAAGCTTGTGCCCTAATTCCACGGATAAGAGGGAAGGCGTGTGGATTGTTAGCCTTTATTTTGAAGGGAAAAGAATATAAAAGTAAGAAGGTTCTGCTAAAACTATACGAGTCATTAGTTAGACTACAGCTAAAATACCGCAAACAGTTTTGGGCCCCTTAGCTAAGGAAAGATGTACTGGCTTGGCAGCAGTCCAAAGAAAGTTCATCTAAGGCTGATACCTGGTGTGGAGGAACTGTCTTACCAGGAGCGGTTTAGTAGATTGGACCTCATTGGAATACAGAAGAATGAGATTATAATAATTATGTTCACCGGTAATTATCATTATCTTCTGGTGGATATTGTATTTTAAAATCTCAATTTCCCATTTATTTTGTAATTTTGGATATTTTTTAATTTTCTAGATCCATTGTAAATTTGTATTTTCTGTAAATGTTTAGGAATGTTATGAAAACATTGATTGTTGCACAGTTTCATCCAGATGTTTCTCCTTCCATTCCAACTTTTGGCAAAGGAGCATTAATTATTATGTAGCTCCCCTCTGCACATATTGCAGTACTTGACTGTCTTGTGGATTTTGTGTTCTCTTTTGAGATAATCTTAACAAATGTTCTGGTTTAGATTGCGAACAGGTGATGTTAGGCCCTTGTAACATACATTACATCTGTGTGTGGTGCTGTGCTTGACTACAAACATGGTTACATACTTTTCTTTCAGGTTGTAGTGAGCATGAAGTGGAAGAAAAACCTCAGGTGCTTTGGGCTTTATATTTCAATGTGAGAGATACATCAACAGTTGACAGAAGCACATATGAAGGCGTTCCCAGTAATGTCTTTGTCTGTTGTGGACCCGATGCTGCGCTTGGATTTGAGCAGTCTGTTAAGCAGGTACAGTCAACTCAAAAATATCTAAAATAAACTGCTTACATAATTTTGTTTCTTGCTTTTAGGATGTGCTAAAGGCTTTCAGAGCCTTGCTGTTACCTTTCTGATATGTTATCACAGTTAAGAAAACAATAATAGCAATTCGTCTGCAAGGCGAATTGTTTCAACTCTTCTGAGAACTTTCTTTTCCATGTTCTAGTATTGAAATCTAATAACTTGTACCATGTTTTCCATTTAGAATGGATAACTGTCATCAAATACCTAAAATTGATTCCTCTTATTTACCACAATTAAATCTTCCATCCAATTTACTGTGATACTTGAAGACTTGTTTGGATGTTAAAGAGCCTAAGGGAGAATGAGTGTTTGGATTGACTGGCAGTTTAAAAAAGGCAGCATATCTTTGTAAAGCAGCCAGTGTGTCTCTCTTAAAAGTCTTTTATTTTAAAATTACAGTTTACTTGAAGAGTGTGGTAGCAGTTCGGAGGGGAGTGCAGAATAGCGTGATTGCACAAAAGCAAGTGAGAAATTTAGAAATGGATCTTGGGGAGCTAGTGGGGATTTGTTTCGTGTAAAGCAAAGGAGCTATAATGTGTGTTTAAAAGGCAGCGTGTCGAGAAAATCAGTTTCTTGAGGAAAAATTGACACTTTATTAGTGCACAAAGTTTCGAAGAGGACCATTAAAACAAATAAAAATGCAAGCAGTTTGGATTCGAGGTACAATGTTGCATTGCTGTGAAAATATCCAGGGATTGGTGTGACTACTGTGCAGCTGAACAATCAGTAGACAGAGGTTTATTGCGCCACGGGTGGAAATAAACTACAAAACGCGTACAATGAAACAGTAAATAAAATGTTATTGTGTATCAACCGTTTAGTTAGTAGCTCATGGAGGAGATGGCGATGTAGTGTTAATGTCGCTGGATTAGTCATCCAGAAAGCCAGACTAATGTTCTGCAGACATGGGTTCAAATCTCACCGTGGCAGATGGTGAAATTTGAGTTTCAATAAAAATCTAGAATAAAAAAACTAGCTTAAAGACGTCCATGAAATCATTATCAATTTGGATAAAAACCCATCTGATTTACTCACGTCCTTTAGGGAAGGAATTCTGCCATCCTTGCCTTGCCTGACCTGGCCTGCATGTGACTCCAAGCCTGCAACAATGTGGTTGACTCTGAACTTCCCTCTGGATAATTTGGAATGGACAATAAATGTTCACATCCCATGAATGAATGAACTTGGATTTTTTAAAATTCAACTGCATTTCCAGAGAAATAAAAATCAAGGTTGAAACTCTGGTTGATACATTAAGGCAACATTTGCTGTCAGCTCTCTTTTTCAGGTGACACTATATCTAAGCCCAATCTGCTTGTTCAGGGGAATGTGACAATAGCATATATTCCAAAGATCATCAGGGAAGGTATTTCTCGTGACCAAGCTATTATTTATCTTTCAATCAACATCACAAAAAAAGAGATCTGCTCATTTTTACATTGCTGTTTATCAGTGTTTGCCGTCTGCATATTGGCTACTACATTTCCTGTTACAACAGTAACTACACTTCAGAAGTACTTCATTGGCTGTAAAGTGCTTTGAAACATCCATTCATAGTAAAGTATGTTATAGAATTACAAATCTTGTTCGCTTGAAACATAGTTGGCAATCTGTAATCTGCAGAAAGCAAATTGTTGAAAAATAAAGGTAAAAATGTGTACAATGATGCGCAATAAATAGAAGAAACTAGTAGCTCTACATTTGAAGTGTTCAATTGTGGAGCTCATTGAAAGAATTAGGCAAGAATCTTGTAGCTGTGTGTGCTGCGTCTGGAGGCAAATCTGCTACTTATGGTTGCTTTGCACCTTTGTCATCCTATTCCAATGTGCAGCAACCCATAGTCTAAGTGTTTGGCCTCAAGACTACAAATGGCTGCTCAATCAGGAAATAATTTCCACTCCTTTCCCCACCCCAGAATCCGTAGTCCCATAGAATAATTTGGGTCTGCAAAAGCAGAAATGATTGCTTTGTAGAGCCTATCTGCTTGTTTGAAAGTAAACAAGTATTCAGAGGTTTTAAGTCAGGCCCATACCTCTGAGGAATCTGTTCTTCATTCTTTTTCTTCCTTCATCCAAATAAGCTGAATGACCTCAAATGAAAACATCATGCTTGACTGTGCATTGTCACAAGATAGTACTTGACTCGTGCAGCATAATGCGTAGAGCTCTGAAATAACAATTCTTTCAATTTAATATGCTGTACAATTGATTGTTGATTACTATGTAGCCAGTTTAATGGTGGCCTGAAAGGGATTTTTTTTTCAGTTGTCCCTGCTGCTGCTTACTGCTGGCACTGAGGTATCCAGACATGGGACAGAGTGGAATGACACCACCTAATTCTTGTATCTCTTCTCTGTTGTCTGGATGGTGAGATTGCCCTTGCTGCATTCCACTCTTAATTACACAATTGTAATCAGAACATTTCTACCAGTGGCTATTGTTGTCCATCTTCTTCCTTGTGATTTTGTCTGTAGATACGAGATTACTTTCTACTTGTATCCTGATGCTGCCTAACTCTACTTCTTCACGTTCTCCGTTGATTCACTGCTATTCCACCTGACTGTCTTGAGAGTCCTTCATAAGTTAAGCAATGTGACGCAGGCAACTGTGTCTTTAACCACTAGGCACATACTCTCATTAACTCTGCACTATTCGTGGTCTTAACTTTATGCAGAATGTGACCATTGGCAGATCCGAGATCTTGATCTTGTTTTCTGTATTTGAATTTTCAATTATTATATCTAATCTGTCACAAGGATAACCTGCTTTCATCTTTGTGACATTGCCCTCCTTGCCCCAATTTGCCCACATGCCATTGAAAGCTTCACTTATGCCTTTTGCACTCTCGGTATAAAGTTTTTTGGTCAGCGTGGTCTCGGGTAGTTCAGAAACTTCAACCTCTCAAGCTCAAGTCCTCAAATTTTTTGCAGCCCATTTTTCTATCCTGCACCTATATTCCATGGTCCTTACTGACTGACATTTGACTAACAGTCCTGCATCATCTAAAATGCGTAACTATCAGTCTAGTTTAGATCCCTCTGCAGTTTCATCTCTACCTATCATTAGAGTGTCCTCCACCCTATACTCTGCACCCCCACCTGCATTTTCTTTTCAGTCCTATAAGTCAAGCTTGCCTTGCTCCTCTGTTTTAATCAGTATAAACATCTGTGCCAGTGCTTTAACTCTTGAACTTCCCCCAATAAATTTGCTTTACATCTGTGCCTGCTGCATCTTAAATTGGAAGAATTGTTATTTCAGAGCTCTACACATTGTGATGTATGAGTCAAGTACTATCTCTCTACAATGCACAGTCAAGCGTGATGTTTTCATTTGAGGTCTACTTGGAAGAAGGAAGAAAACACGAAGGACAGACTCCTCAGAGGTATGGGCCTGACTTATAACCTTTGAATACCTGTTACTAGCTATTGCACTTCTTCAAAACATACTTCCTTAGCTAAAGTTTTAGACACCCTGCTATTGTTGCCTTCTTTGGCTTGCTGTCCATTTTTTTTTTTTTCCCTTATGCTTCTGTGGATTGTTTATCCGCATTAAGATTCTATGCAAGATCGAAGTTGTTTTCATCATCTTCAACTGCGTACTTGGACTCCCCTTTTAGTGCTTCTGCGTAAACATGGCACATATCCTCAAATAATTCATTGTTTGGTCCATAAGGACACTTTTTTTGAGAGATCTTCTCAGATGCCAAACACTGCGAGTTGTGAATTATTTATTTTCAATAAATGTGTGGGCTCGACAAAAAGAGCTTAGGGTTACCATATTACTATTATGAAAGCTTCTTTTAAGCTATGTAAAATTTAGAATATTTCTCTGTCTGATTATATTTAATCTGTATCTCTCTTCCCTCGACCTTTTATCGTCCTCGCCACCAGTCTGGAATGCTATCATGAGTGCTGACTTCCCTTTAATAGTTTGCTCAAGTGAAAGTTATTTATGTGACCCAGGCCAGTGATTGTCAGCAGGCTGTTTTTATTATGAAGCCAATATTTTTCAGCGCATGTCAGCACAAAGCAATCAGCGGTGTGAACTTTGGATCTTTCCTCCTAGCTGTACTGAGGATAAATAGAGCATTTCTCATAAGTTAGATGACCAGCACATTTGGAAACTGTTCCAGTCATTCAGCTTCAAATCACTGGTGTCAATTTGGTTTGGTAATAGATTCAAACAGCATCCAGAGATTTGATCAAGTAATCTGGATGGACACTTTTGTGCACTCATAAGGGAGTGCTGCACTGTCGAAGATGTAGCCTCTGCAGGTGAACCTGAAATATCATGTGGCACTTACTTGACCCTTTATAGTTCTTCTGTTCTGGGAAACATTTTGTTTCTTGACCAAAATCACTGACTGATAAATCTTGCTGTTTGCAAAATATTGTATGCAAAACATTATGCCACATTTTCTAACTTCACATCTTTGAAAGGATATATTTAGCTGCAAAACACATTAGAACTTTGAGGTTTTGAAAGATGTTATATTAACATAAACTCTTTCAACCACACTAGGCGCTGTGTTTATTCATTTGAGAGTGTCTGCATTGTTACAACCAGGTGAGGAGGGGTAATTGAGTCTTATTTTTAACCCACTCCCTTGGTCAGTAGGGACATTTTTGTTTTGTTTAGTGCAGCTATTGCACTTCAGTTAAAACTTAGTGAACCAAATAAGAATGGAGGTCCAATTCCAAAGCTATCTTGAGCAAAAGAATGGAGTCAAGTTTCCTATTAAACTTGAAAAAAAATAAGAAAACATGACCTCAAACACCTGCAAATGCAGGTAATAATTTTTTTTAAAAAAAGTGTGTTTGTACAGATAGGAAGGTCAAGGTTATCGCAGTTTGAAATTTTTGCAGTCATTGAGTTGCAAGAGTGAAACCTGAGTAACAACTGTTTTAGCTGTTGTTCTGGAATTCGAGTTGGGTTTTATTGTCATGTGTACTCAACTACAGTGTAAAGTGTACAAAGTCACTGTTCTCCAGCGCCCTCTTGGGTACAAAAACCCAAATTTTTTTTAAAAACTACCATCTTAGGTTAAAACAAAAACAAAATTTTTAAAGAAGCACAAATGCAGAAATATAAAAAACAGAGCCAAGAAAAGCATCCAGATCTAAAAGTCTTCAGGTAGTATTATCTCTGTCAGGGAAGTGGGCCTCCGTCCTCAACCGTGAATCTCGGTGCCACCCTCAGAATTCAAGGGCTCTCGGAGTTTGCTCCCGCAGGCCCTTGGAACCTGCTTCAGCTGCTGCCGCTGACCCTTGGAACTCGCTCCCATTACTGTCGCCTGCTTCCTCGGGACAATAACCTTGATTTCTTGGTGAAAGGTGGTATTTGCAAGCTGCTCTTTAGGAAGTGTTGCTTTTTAGATTGAAAGAGACAGGAAGGGAATGAAGTGCTTTCAGACATCAACACTCCACCAGTGCCCTTTCATCTCTCAATGTGTGATTGTATTATGTAAGTGTGAGTAAAATAAGAGATGAAAATTTCTTGATACCTCACTGGTGCCACTTGATCCAAAATGGTCATTTCAGTGCAGCCAGTTTTGTGCATTCCATGTGCAGTTATTTCGGTCAGTTTCCTTTATTGAAACAATTTTTAGTCCATTGTTAAAGTTAAATGATGAACGCTTAATATTGATGGTTTGTTTTCATTATAATTGTAGCAATATTTAAAAGGTTATCGTCCTTTCAGACCAGTAATTATTTTCAGTAAGTGTTCGGATCAATGTTCACAGGGCTTATTTCCTCTTTCTTTTCACTAGGCAGAAGATATCTTTCATCAAATCTGTCCTGGGGAAGAGTTCTGTCCCATGGCTCCAAACCCTGAAGATATTATCTATGATGGTGATGGTGTGCAACCAGAAAGTTCTGGTTTTGGAACTTCTGCAGAATTAGAAGCAGTTCAAGTAAAAGAAAATACAAATCCCAAATCTGATCCCACAGAAGATGGTAACAAGGAAGTGGTAGAATCGTTGGATGTTAGTGAAGCGGACAGACAATCGGAAATGTCCAGCTCTAATGCTCAAGCTTTGAAGTGTAATAATGGGATAGAAATACCAAAGGATACAGAATAATGTATATTAAAATTTCAAAATAATGACCAGTGGTGGTATTTCCAAACTATATTGACGCAAACTGAAAAATGCTGTTAATATCATACAGTGGAATTATAGAGGGCAGCCTTTACACCTTGCGACAGTCCACTAATTGAGGATTCTAGTTCAGGCAATTTTTCGATATCTTACTCAAATAAATGCTGTACTCTGTGCGTAAAGCAGTTATAACAAATGGATCTATTTCCAGCCACCTGCTGCTACTCTTTCCTCTTCACTTCCCCCTTGCCCTGAAAATGGACTAATGTTAAGGCCTATTGACACTAATTAAAAGTAGCCAATTGTGAAGATGGGATTGGGGAAGAATTGCCAAAATAAGCTTTGCTTAAACCACATGGATGTTTAAAGACTATTAAGGTATCTAAAATTAAAGCTACAGCTTGCTTTGCTGGAACCTTTTTATCACAATAATACTATTCCCAAAAAAATGGGCAGAACTCACTCGTGATAAATGATGGAAAATATTTCTTCTGACAAGAAATGTTCAAACCATTCAACATTTTGAAATATTGTTTACTGGAAAAAATATTAAGTGCTAATGTTACGTTATGAATATACTTCAGAAAGCAGGGGCAGGTGCAAACAATTTTCTCAGTGGAAAATCAAATAGGTCTATAATGATATGTGATGGAATAGCAGATGTTTTGCAGATCAAGGTACTATTTTCCATGAGTAATGTGTTCAATATCAAAAACATATACTGTGCAATAACCTGTGAAAATACACCTCATTTAATGGTTATGTAAACAAAAGTGATTAAAATGTTGCAAAAATCATGCCTGTGGTACATTTGTATGCTCTGATGTTATTTCTTTAACAAATTTCTTTTTAAAATTAAAACATGATGTGCTTAATTCCCACTGCTGAATTTATAAAAATTCAGAAGCTAATTGCAACTCTGGCTAATTTCATAATAAGACTATGGAGCAATTCAAGCAGCTAATACAAATAAATGAAGAACGTGTCATATTTGATAAATTGATGGAGAATGTAGTTCCATAAGTAGGCCTTAATTAGAAGTTGTAACTGACCATTTTTATGTTGCTTACTTAAAGGCCATGTGAAATACATTCAAGGTGAATGTTAGGAATTTTGTCACTATTGCTTCATTCCCTTTGTTGCCTTTCTGTTTGACTAACAATTAGCCAGAAGAGAGATGTAAACTAATGAAACTGCATCTTTTCTCTTACCCTCTCTGATTCTATCCAATGAATAAGTATCTGTTACAGAAGCTCAATGTTCCAATCTTATTCCCCAGATAGCCTTTTCACAGAGCTGAGCTCTACTTACGTGACATGAACATTTATATTTGAACTAAACAAGACTCTTTAGACTTTGTAAGCATTGGATATGGTAATTCTATATTATGTATGCTGTAAGTGTTGATTGTGAGAATTTACAGTAAATTTTGGTACTGTTATGCTGCAAGATGGTGCTGTAAATTAAATTCCTCAATCCGACTAGTGGAGGTTTTGTTAACAGCAAGCTATTTTCCAGTTGCAGAACCAAGTATGCACATACTTTCGCACTTTTGCTTTTTCCCCATTTTCCACGCAATTACAAGTAAAATTAAGAGATAGTAAAATGCACTGTAGACACATGAAATTCTGTGGTGGGCAGTGCTTTTCATTAGTGAAACCCTTGTCAGCTGACAATGCTGCAGTGACAGGAGGCTTATAAAAGAGTCTCTTGGTCAAACACCGACTCTGCATCACATCCACAACTTTATAATTCTAACAGCTCCATTTTTGAAGCACTTGAGAAGACACAAATGTTGTTGGTGTTCTTCAAGTCTTAATTTTGTGATTTCCATCTATCTGACTCACTAATATCCTTCAGGAAAGGAAATTTGCCACCCTCACCAGCTCTGGCTAACGAGTGACTCCAGACTGTCAGCAATATGGTTGACTCTGCACTGCCCTCATTGTTGCATCAATTGCTATGAAGTCTCAACAAAGAAATTAAACTGGACCAACAATCCAGCAGAGATTAGGCACCAGAAAGATGACAGCAGAAATACTCCTGTCAATTTTTCAAATTCCTCTTCACTAACATCTGAAGGCTAGTGCCAAATTGGGAGATTTTCCAGAATTTGCCACTCCCCTAGCCAAGCAGTCCCAGTACTGCTATAACACTGGCATCTACCTGACAATGTGGAAAATTGCCCAGATATGTCCTGTACACAAAAATCAGAGCAAACTCAAGCCAACCAATTACTGTCCCATCAGTCTACTCTGTCATCAGTAAAGTGATGGGAAGTGTCATCGACAGTGCTATGAAGCAGCATCTGCTGAGCAATAACCTGTTCAGTGACACCCAGTTTGGGTTCCACCAGGGCCATTCGGCTTCTGACCTCATTACAATCTTGGACCAAACATGGACAAAAGAGCTGCATTCCTGAGGTGAGGTGAGAGTGATAGGCCTTGACATCAAGGCTGCATTCAACTGAGTGTGGCATCAAAACTGGAATCAGCAGGCAAACTTTCCAGTGGTTGGAGTCATACCTGGCACGTGAGAAAATGGTTGTGGTCGTCAGAGGTCAGTAATCACAACCTTCAACTGCTTCATCAATGACCTTTCCTCCATCATAAGGTCAGAAGTAGGGATTTCACTGTACAATGTTCACTACCATTTGTGACTCCTTAGGTATTGAAGCAGTCCATGTTCAAACGCAGCAAGATCTGAACAATATCCATGGTTGGGCTGACAAATGCAAGTAACATACAGGCTACACTAATGCCAGGTAATGACCATCTCCAGTAAGAGACAATCTAACTACTACCCCTTGACATTCAATGGTATTACTATCACTGAATCCCTTACTGTCAACATGCTATAGTCACCGTTGATCAAAAACTCAACTGGACTTGCCACATAAACAGTGACTACAAGAGCAGGTCAGAGACTAGGAATGCTATGGTGAATACCTCATCACCTGCCTCCCCAAAGCCTGTCTATTAGCTACAAGGCACAAATCAGGGGTGTGATGGAATGCTCCTTAACTGCCTGGATGGGTGCAGCTCCAACAGCATTCAAGAACCTCAACACCATCCAGAACAAAGCAGCCCATTTGATTATCACCACATTCACCAACATCCACTCCCTCCTCCACTAACACTCGGTTGTGTGTACTATCTACAAAATGCACTGCAGAATTTCACCAAAGATCCTTAGACAAAACCTTTTGAACACACAGCCACTTCCATCTAGAAGGGCAAGGGCAACAGGTACATGGGAACACTACCAACTGCAAGTTCCCCTCCAAGCCACTGACCATCTTGAATATATATCGCTGTTTGTTCATTGTCACTGGGTCAAAATCCTGAATTCTATTCCTAAGCACATTGTGCATCAACCTATAGCATGTAGACTGCAGCAGTTCAAGAAAGCAGCTCACCACCACTGTCTCAAGGGCAACTAGAGACAGGCAAGAAATGCTGGCCAGCCAGCAAAGACCATATCTGATGATTTTTAAAAAAAGTCCATTTCCTATTTGAAATTATATATCCCTTAATATGTTGGTGTGTACACCATCAATTTCAAAATTATTTAAATGCAGTAATATTTCTGCACCTTTCACATTTTAGAAAAGGTACAGTTTTTACTTCAATTCCATGGCTGCAGTAAGATTTTTGTTTGGCCTAGTATCTCGCTCTGACTTTCAAAATGTGAATTTTAAATCTAAGATCATTTAGGTCAGTTTCTTTCCAATGTGCATTTTGAAAATTGTAAATAAATGAAATCAGCTGTACGTTCAGGTATATCCTCAGGATTTTTATATTCAGTAATATAGGTGGATATTATAATTATTTGAATTATTCATAGCAGTCTCTAATTTGGCATGTAAATAACTTGCACTTCCATATAAGGAAAAATGTCTTGAAAATATTTTTATTAAATTGTCAAATGTTTCTGACTATTATTAGTTTAGTCATATTTGCACTGAACATTTTTTTGAAATGATTGTTTCATGCAGCTGTAGAGATAATCTTCTAATGTGTTTTAAGTTGAAGAGAAATAATCAATTGTCTCTTTAGTGTGCATTTGGGAGAAAAGTAGAACAATCTCAACAAGTGAATAGATATTGTAGTCATCAAAATGTTAGTGTACTATAATAGATTTTGCAACAAAACTGTTGGTAAGTTTATTACAGTTAATTTCCAGGATGCCCTCATCTGGTGTGTTATTTTAAGGTTATCTGCTGAGTGCATTCTGTTCATAGTCAGTAAATTTGAGTGTCTGATGTTCTTTGTAGTAAAGTGTGTTCATGGATGTATGTGAAGGGTGGAATCATCGTTGTAAATGCCAAAGGAAGAAATTTGCTTCAAGATTATCTGATTTGATAATTTAATAAGTATGCATAAATGTTTCCCTTAGAAAACAAAAGGCTATATATAAATGTCTTAACAGTGAAAGAAATCTAATATGACATTCACACGGTTTTGATCAAATATTAGTAAACCAGCCTGCATTTACAAAAGTGGCTTTTTCCCCCCTAATTGGTTATTCTGAACTCAGACTCCAAATGTACTTATTTTGTTTTACCCATTTTATTTTAAAATTTGAGTGCCTGGCTAAACAATGTTCACATCAACAGACAGGTAGATTTGGAAAGACTTTGCTTACGACTATCGTGCATCTTATCCTGACGTGCAATTTTATTTTTTTTTGTGCTTTTGTCATTATAATCGACAGCAGTGGTTATCAACGTTTTTAGTATCGAGGTACACTTCAATGAGATGCACAATTCCATGCACACCCACTTTTTTTTTACTGAATTTGCTCGTAAACATTGCATTTACTTACTTTTCCTTTAGTTACAGCCTTACCAGAGAGGTTTGCATCATTTGTGTACGACAGGCTAAAGAAGAATCAAAAACATTTCAAATCTACTCAAAAAAAACTGGCTGCGGGCATAGACATATTTTTAAAATCTGTTTAACTCCACTATTTGCCAGCTTTTCTCTGCATCTAGGACATTTAGGTAAAGATTAAGAGACAGCTCCTGTCCATGAAAATCAACGTCCTGATAGTTCTCATTGTACTGTCTCTGAATAGTTCTTGCTTTTTAGACTTTGTGTTCAGGTGTTTCATTCACTGAATTAGCAGAAACATCACCTCTTTTGACAAGAAATTTAGAGTCATACAGCACAATAACTGACCCTTTGGTCCAACTTGTCCATGCCGACCAAGTTTCCCAAACTAAACTAGTCCCATTTTCCTGCGTTTGGCCCTTATCCTTCTAAACCTTTCTTATTAATGTGCCTGTTCAAATGTCTTTTAAATGTTGTAACTGCACCTGCATCTACCACTTCATCTGGCATTTCATTCCACGTACAAACCACCCGCTGAGTGAAAACGTTGCTCCTCAGGTCCCTTTTAAATGTTTCTTCTCTCACCTTAAAAATATGCCCCCTACTTTTGAACTCCTGTACATAGAGAAAAGACCTTTTGGTATTCACCTTATCTATACCCTTCATGATTTTATAAACCTCTACAAGGTCATCCCTCAACCTCCTATGCTCCAGTGATAAAAGCCCTAGCCTATCCAGCCTCTCCATATAACTCAAACCCTCTAGCTTTTGCAACAAACTTGTAAATATTTTCTGAACCCTCTCCAATTTAATAATATCTTTCCTATAGCAGGGTGAGTACTCCAAATGTGACCTCACCAACGTCCTGTACAATCTCAACATGACGTCCCAACTCCTATTCTCGATGGTTTGAGCAATGAACGGGAGCATGCTAAATGATTAATGTAAGGTTATATTGATAA